CTCAGCACTTCAATATATTTAACATTTCTAAATTTATTCATTTCTTGTAGGTGCTGATTCGTCTTAGTAAACTTTGTGTTTCTGAAAATATGAATGGCAAGAAGAACCGAAAGCATGAACAAAGACTTTTACGTAATATGGGGGCTCATACAGTGGTGTTGGAGTTACTACAGATACCATATGAAAAGGTAATTGCAATACAAATGGTGTTCAATAGATAAACATTATATAAATATTGGTATAATCACAATTTTAAATGGGCAAGTATTTAAAATCCTATTAGTAGAAAAAAACTGTATAAGGTTGAACACATATTTGGGATGGTAGTTTCCATATATTGGATAGTAATATGTATGTATTGTGGTTTGATTGATACCGATGTACTCTGTATTTTAGAGTGAAGACATCAGAATGCAAGAGTTAATGAGACTAGCACATGCATTTCTACAAAATTTCTGCATGGGAAATCCATCAAATCAGGCTTTACTTCATAAACAAAGTGAGCTTTTTCTCACACCTGGGGTAAGTTCCTAACTTGTTTTTGTTATTGTTCTGAAAATTACACCTGTCTAGACTGCGGCATTCCATCAAGTTATGTATTCACTGGCCCAATTCTGTTCACCAACAAAACGCTTTAAATTATTCTCCCAGATTTGCCATACTATTATTCCAATATATCTGGTGTAATGCTTGCCGTGTATGTACAGCATCAAATCTCAGCTGTGCAGAGACAAATTTTGTTAAAATTTTCTACATATTGTGAGCATCATGAAACCTCATCCACCCCTTTGTTTTACAGATCATATTTTAAATAGCTGCCTGGTGGCCATTTCTTTTTCAAATAAATGTTATTCCACAATCATATCTCACAGACATGTCTGGATCAAATACATTCAAACTTGACACATAATACTTATTAGGGGTATATATTAGCATGTGTCTTTGTTTAGTGATTTGATTCAAAATAGCCATCTGCCAGCTGTTTTTAGCTCCCGTGAAACGGAGCTTATGTGGTACCGGTGTCTGTGACTCTGTGACTCTGTGACTAATATTTGTTCCACTGATAACTCAAGATCTACAATTTCAATTCAAATGAAATTCGGCACACAGCTAATATATGATGAGTAGATGTGCTGATTAGATTCTGGTGCAATTCCATGCATATTAATTAGTCAGTCAATTATTGCATAAATTAATTTATAACTTAGAGTCTTTCAAGTTTCTTAACAAATATTTGACTAGGGTGAGTAGCCTAATTTGCATATTGCAATAATGTATTCTGTCGCAAAAAAAAACTGGTAATATTTCATTGGAAGGTCTGCAAATTTGCGAATTTTAGTATATAATGATTTATTATATCATGATGGATGTTATTTGAGCAGATACAGCGACTAAAAACATCAAATGAATGTGAGTATGGGGAGTACGCATGCGCAGTTACAAGAGTGACGCGTCCATTTTTTCAGTTTGACGAAAAAGCAGTACTCTTTCCGATTTTCATGAACGCAAGCTCAATTTCACTTTGTGCGTCATATTCATCAATAGACACAATCGAGGACAGATGCCGTACAACTTTCTACCAATCTTGATTCGTAAATGTGCTGGTTACATGTACAGTGTTCTCCTCGGGCCTGCGTCGCTTAGACAATAGCCGCGTAACTTTCGACACGACTCCCAGTGTCTTCTCCTCGAGCATACAGTAATGTTTCACATTTGTTTTCGCATGGTTTCCATCTTATTCAAATAAAACGAAGCAGTTGATATTTTACTTAGTATTTATTCTTGTTTGATATTTTTAAACAAAAATGCACTCATTAAAAAAATTGTAGATATGCGAGTTTTTTGTTTTTGCCGAACGAGGACAAGGAAGTTAAATGGCGGTAGTTTTGTGTAGGGTCGATCGCGATGTTCGGTTTGTATCAAAAGCACGTCTCACAAATGAATTTTTTTTTTCAAGCGATAATTTGATAGCAATTAAACAAATTTCAATCGTTGGCGTATGTAAGGGCTGGATCACTTACTTTCAAGGGCTCAAAGTCCGGACGAACATTAAACTACGATGTTTTTATTTATCTGTTCTAGGTATGTTGTACAGACTTTTTAGTTGTACTATTTTGATGATTTAATTTCAAGAATCTGTCAAGGAAACAATCTGTTGTTACTTTACATGTTGACGTAGGTTTAATTTAGCAGATTTTACTTGTCAGCGAAAATAGCGAAATTTGCCCAATGCGTCAGGAAGATCTATCCCGATTTGCTGCACTGCGGTTTTTACTACTCCATCGCTAATGACACTAATTACCAAGAATTAAAAAAAAACAAGTGAAATTAAGTCGCATTGGGAAAAAAACCCACAAAAAAATCAAAGCAAAAATTATTCAACTGCAGACGAGACAAACCCCGACCTCTAGAAATACCTCATTCATAGAGTGCCTCATTAGTGCCCTTTGTTTACAAGTATAGTGTCCTTGCATGTTTTTCAAAATGCCCATATCAAAATCATGTGTTTCCATATACAGTATGTCATAGATTCTCAAGTATCTTGATCAATTTTATTGATGGATTGACCTACATGCAATTACATTCACTTATTAGGCAAAGCCTATACCTTTATAATACATGCTCTGATCACACGGGAGCTATTTACAGTTTAACATTGATTCATTCTAAAAATGCATAAAAATTAAAAACTTTCTGCTATTGTTTCATCAGTTCTCGGGCTCTTGAATGATATCCATCCTAGCATATGAAAGATACAACTGTATGACACTAGAACAGCGTTTTTGAAAATAAAATAGCCGCCAGGCAGCCATCAGATCGGTAAAACAAAAATATGTGTATCAAGATTCCATGAAGTTGTATGTATATGTGTGTACAAAACCTGGAAATAAACAATCAATGTAAACTTTACCCTTTAACTACATTAGGGATTTGATATACCTGACTGGAACCACTGGAACAATTCTGCCATTACATATGTAATAAATACACATCATTTTATTTGTTAATTATTTCATGACAGATCATTTGTATACATGTGATATCACAGTATGACTATGAGTAGAGGACTATAATACATCTATAATTGAACGTAAATAATTAGACAAGGCTTTCTGACAGGGCAGATTTATTACATCCTGATGTTTCCAATATTTAATCACATGTCACTCATAAGTGATAACTCTCCTTGGTTTTATTTCAGTTACTGGAAGCACAGACGATGCGTCACATATACATGGACAATGTGTCGTTATGTAACGAAATAAATGAGAAAGTTGTACAACATTTTGTGCATTGTATTGAGACACATGGACGACATGTGGAGTACTTAAAATTTCTTCAGACAATAGTGAAAGCTGAGGGGCAGTATATCAGAAAAACACAGGATATGGTCATGGCTGAGGTAAAGTAATAATGTATCACTATTACTGAGAATTGTATGAATATGTCAACTTGTGATTTTAAAAGTGTCTCTTTTTCATTGATATTCAATCAATCAATTTAATGTAGATGAGGAAATAGTATGGAATTGTTACAGAATGAAACCGTTATTATACCACTAGCACAGTTCATAAATAAAAGCTTCAAAGTCAGAAAGCAGGATCTTACTTGACATCTTAATGCCTGCCGTCAATTTAGTATTTTAGAGATTTTGTATTATTTAGTAATTTAGTGATTGTTTTTATATTTTTTTTTCTCGTACTTTGTGACCATTTTTTTTCTCTCCGGGGATTGTGTAAGAGTCAATAAGTAAATAAATAAATAAATATATAAATAAATATATGAATAAATAAATATAATAGAGGAGCACATTGTTTTGTTCTTGTGGTTACAAAACTGTTATTGTAAACTACAATTATAACATTTGTGAGAGTCAAGTTTATTGTGATCAGATTTGATTTGCATAATTAATTACATCATTAAATTAATTACAATTTTATTTTTTGTCAGCTGGTGAATGTTGGTGATGATGTTTTACTATTCTATAATGACAAGGCCCTACTTCAAAGCCTAATAGAACTGATGAGATCGGAA